TAAATAAGAAAGAGAACGAAGACATGAACTTGAATATGTGTGGTCGCGAGGTCCGGAGTTCATGAGTTAGTTGCGTTCTCTTCATTCACTTCTCTAACTCATCTCACTCGGTTTCCTCACTCCTTTAATTCAGTTAAGAACGAAGTCAGTGAACTAATTAAAGGAGTATCTTTCCGCACGTCACATGCTCACGGAACAATAGAACGACTCCCACCGCTCCAAAATGACAGCATGCAAAGACTTCAGCAAGAGGCATTTCCGCGAGAGCTCGCTATTTTGTGGCAAGTTTCAAGGGATTCGCCTTGCTAGTGAACTTTCTCTTCTCCGGACTGAAATGGAAGGTAGGGCAATCAAAGGCTTTGATGTGGTGAGAGTATATATGGGTTTCCCGAGGAAAGTTGAGAAGAGTATATACCGGGCGTTCATGAAAAGGAAGCCAGAAAAGGCAGGGTCACATGCCCTCTCTCTTAAGGGAAAGAAGTCTACAAGCGACCTTTTTCATGTACCATAGAAAAGTGTATCCAAGCCTTTGGGTTCCTCATTTTGCGAATCTGCACCGGAATCGGTTTACGATGTACGTAGTAGGGGTGAAGGGTTTTGGCTTTGGAGTTTCGCGTTGTAGAAATCGAATCTGGCCCAACTTGCTGTGGGCATGCCCTTCATGTTTTTCGATGCTTCAGGAGACTGACAAGAAGATGATCTACGTCTACCATAAAGGTGAAAAGAATTGTGCCAGGAGCTCATGTTCCAGATTTACCATCAGATTCTATGCGCACTTTGGGGTTTGAGGCTTTAGTGTGCCTTGCAGCGCACAGTTCGACTTTCAGCCATTGCATCCTTATGTCAGAGGTACTTACTTGGAAGGGCATCAGAAATTCCCGTAGGAGATATACATGTTCTTCATGAGATTTCTTATTCTAGATACTAGGGGAGCCCCAGTTGCCTGCCAGTGCTTCGGCTTGCGACATAGCTGTCGCATGCATCTCAACACACACCCTACATAATCCTGGAAGGAACCCCAAAAAGACCTTCCGGACACCCTCATCCCACGATTTAGAAGAGTGCCCCTCTGCTAGTTTTAGGGTTTACGGGTTCACCTCCGGACAGACACTACAAAATCCTGAGGAGCCCCCAACCACACAAGAGGATTGTTTTGGGATTGTGAGGAATTCCATAGTGCGGTGAGGTTTCCAAGCGTGTTTTGCACAGGGCTATGACTCCGGCCTCAAGCCAGGTACCTTGCACCTCTCTAGCCATACGCCATGTATGTCATAGACTCTTGCACTTTTGCTTGCCTGCGCGATGTGGAAGTTCCTTGAAAGCTGCGCTGTAAAGGGGCGTCTTACCACCTCCTTCTCATTTTCATGGAGCCCCAAAATTTAGCCTTGTTCTGAGAAGTATCTGTATAGCGCTTCCATTCAGAGTTAATAGCCCCTATTGCATACACATACCCATAAAAACGCAGATCCGTGTCAAACGACATCTAAAAAGGGGCCCACAGTGTTGAGAGCCCTTCCTCGCAAGTCTGTATCAGTATTTCGGGAGTGCTCAGGTGGGCTGGTACTCGGACATGCAGCCAATAGACATAAAGGAGGCATTGATGAAAGGGGGTGCAGATTTGCATTGCCGCTGGCGGGTTTGGGGTAGGGAGGTTTGAGGAAAAGGCTTTTGCATTGATCTTTCGAAGGGATAGCATCCTCGACTCTAGCATGTGACTCTAGTTTGAAGGAATAGGCCGTATGTTTACGGCATATATATATATATATACACACACATAGAGTTTTGATGTTACTTCTGTCGATTGTGATTGTTGCGTCGGACCTTTGAACTTGGACTAGAGGCCCCGTGTTAGGGTCGTCACCAGAACAAACTGTTGTCCCTTTTCATTAACCAGGTCATGCTTCGGCATGACCTGACACCCAAGATGAGGTCAGAAGTTGAGGTTCAAGATCCAAAAACTTCGTCATTCAAAGTTGAAGTGGAAGGCTGAATTATGAGGCTAACGGTTTGCGGTAGAGTGTCCTCTAGCTCCAAGTCTTCACTATTGGTCATGCGCGTTGAGGGCGCTACTTGTAGGATTGTAGGAAGCACATTCTTGCAGGAGTCCCGACCCAGAGCCCACACTCTTATGTGCTCTACCTGAAGCTGGCTCCCAAAGCATCTGAGAATGTTGGCATACATGAAGCTGGTAGATTTCTTGGCGAATGCCTCTTGAGACTCCTTAAGTTTGGGAGTTGTTGCGTTGGAAGAGTGGGACGTTTCAGATTCACTTCAAGCTCCTACCCTAGAATTCCAGACGCAGAAGGAATGTCATGAGACTCTTTTGAGGCTTATGAGTGCTGTGATCTGCATTTCTTTTTTATTCGTGCCATGATTTTCAATGTCTGAACCATTATTCTCCCTATACTGTAACGATCGCTCAGGCACGGCTAGATGTGGAGTTAGAGGTGGGTAGGATCAAGTGCGTTTTCTAATATGACGTGCGCATAATTCGAGTACGAGCTGTGGGCCCTATACCCGCCTTGGAGCTGCTTGCTAAGCTGTGCCTTTTCACCATCATCTTCATCATCATCGTCATCATCACCATCACGGCTGTCATCAATCCAAGCTCCGGCTCAACCCCAGCCCTCAGGCCGTACCTGCTCAACCCCAAACCCTGAACCTTACACGGCAAACCATATAAGGGTCATGCATTGTGGAAGATGGGTGAGACTTTGACGTAGTCGCACAAGTCCGCAAGCTAAAGCAGCCAAAACGCATTCAAATCAATACTTGTCAGCTTTGGAGGCCATCCTTTGTGCGTGCGATGCCATCATGGACGGAGGCCAGCGGGTGACCGAAGGCGGAATTTGCTAAGAATCCCCAAGTCTGTTGTGTAAGGACTGTTCCTTAGGCCGGTTCAGTTTGGTGTGCATGGTGCAAAGGAGTTGCTTGAGTACTGGCTGGCCTCTGGAGGGTTTCGGCAGGTCGAGTTCATGTTCGGATGAGCTCAGGGGCTGCAGAAATTCAGGCTGAGGTTCCATATCGACAGCTTAAACCGACCACATGCAGGCAGACTCGATGCCTCCCAAATGAGTAGAATTATTTCACGTCAAGCAATACCGGGGGGCTGTAGACGCCTCACCTCTGCTGACTTTGGAGACGCATCTTATGCGAGGCCTGAGCATCATTGTCTCGAAGTATAAGCTTTCAAGGCCCAGTCCTGACCATTGAGGGGCCTGCAAAAAGGAATTGTCATTCGCCCATCTATTCTCCATGTATAATTTGCAGGATGTTGGCGTTTGGATATCCTTGCAACGCAAAACCAGGGTAAGAACTATAACGGAAGCATAGAGGACCTCCTTAATTCAGGACTCCATATGGATAACCTTCGGCAACTGCTTCTCTGATTGGTGTTCTGAACTCCCCTTTGCCTTCAGGTTTCGTCCTTCGCGAGGTGCAGTTCGAAGGCAGGGCCCTCCAGCGATGACTGCGTCTCCTTCTACTGCCGCCCCCTCCAACTCCTGCTCTAGTCCATGTTGCTTTTGCTGCTGCTAGTATTCTGGGGTTTGCCAGAGGAGTCCGAGAATCAGGAGATACCTCCATAGGACCGAGTTTTGTTCTTTGAAGTGATTGAAGCTGAAAAATACTTTAGCCAAATACCAGGGAGAGGACTCCCCTGCATGAGGATTGGTGCCTAGAACTGTGATGATACTCACATTTACCATTGTCATCATCCCTCGCTTTTGCAAATCATCCTCTAGTCCCCTTTAGCCTTCATTATTCTTATATAAGAATTCCTCCAGAGTTGGCGCAGCTGTCCTCTCCTCTGCCTGCAGATGAAGAAGAGAAGACCGAGCCTAAAGAGGACCCTCGACTTAGCCTTCTTGGGCTTTCAGGTTTTAGTCTTGAAGCTGACGGTTTAGAGCTTGGGATTTATTGTATAGAGCTTAAGAGCTAGGGTGTAGGATTCAAGTCCTTCTTAAGGTTTCTATGGGGGTCCTGCCGAGATACCTTTTGATATACTGGGTTGGGGTTGAGAGTTTTGTCAAGTGGATCATGTCATGGGCATGGGTGTACATGTGGTTTATGAGGAGTGAACATGAAGACTACGTAATGGGAGTACAATGGGAATTGTCAAAATCATGGTGCCGATTTGGGATGCTTCTTCCTTCTGGGTTCCGAAAACCGAGCATGTACCAGCCAAAGGCGCAAGGTTGAGAGCACCCACCGCTTAACAGTCTGATGTTGGCCTCTTGCAGCTACAGCAACCAAAGACCCAGTCAACGAAATACAATGCATTACAGTGGTTAAGGGTTTATTGTTGTGGACTTTTGGGTCCATGGCTTTGGAATGTAGGAGGAGCTGACACAAAACAGGAATTCTGGTGCTGAACTGGAAAGCACATGGGGCTGACACATTGACTCTACAGTGCCACTTGGGCTTCAGGCTTTATGATAAGAGACCTCTAGCTTGCGTCATATGCAAGATGTAGACTAAACATCTCATTCGGCGTTCAGAATCTGCAGACGCTCTGTGGATGCAGGAAATCTGGCACCACTTGATATACAGAAATACACCCGCAATACTCAACATCTTGAGGGTCTTAATTGGTTCAAGAATGTTTGCATCCACCGTTGCAAGCCCTCAGCAGAGGAAAGTGTTTTTACATATATATATATATGTATGTACATCGATCTAGTAGATAATCGCCTAGATTGGTAGATCTGAGGTTGGATACCAGGCATGTACGGTTTAGGGTTTAACGGGAGCAGTGACGAGGACACTTTTTTTGGAATCGTTCCACTTTTGTGGGCAGGGAGGACTGGAGGGCGGTGTTGGGAACTCCAACCTTCAAAGACCGCAGCCAGCGACTTCAACTTTAAGCCCTAAACCCTGAACCCTCAACCCTAAACCTTGAATTAAACTATAGTGTTAAACCCTACATGTCACCCTGCAAAACCGGGTGAAAAGGGACCCGAGCCCGGATTCTTGGATCCCCTCCACCATCTTTCAACCAGGATGGCCGGGTCTTTGAGTTCGAGGAGTTCGATCAGCTCCGAAATGGACAGACCTACATCATCGAGGCCCTTGGCTAACATCCTATAGACCTTTGGAAATATTCTATTGTGGATAGCGCCAGTGGTTCGTATTGGTGTCCTCGGAAGAGGGATTACAACATGTCTAGGGACTGTTACATTTTGCACCAATCACTGGGTTTTCTGGCATTTTCATAACCCAGTCGTTCCTTTTCATGAGAAACAATTGCAACCTCCACTTGTTGAAAGGGCCTCCAAATCTCCGTTCAGTTTGGAGGTTTGCAGGATCCTTTGCATGGGGAAGAGTTTCTCCAGCCAAGTGGCCGCAAACTATAAGACCAAATTCTGTATCCAGGGGGTGCTTTAATTGAGTAGGGCCTTTTTTGCTGCAGCCAGGGGGATGTTTCTCCAAGTCTCTTTCATTTGGGCATTGCTCCCAACAATCAGTACTAGGGTTAGGTCGAAAGCAGGAGCATTGGCAAGCATGCGGCATGTTTCCTGTGGTCAAGAGGCTGGACGGCATTTTTACCTGTGGTCCAGAGGCTTGAACTATAATCCGGCCCCGAAAGCTTCTTGAGAAAAGGGTGAATGAGGATTGCTTGCGTACAGCCAGATGAGCCGGATCAAGCCTCCTCCCGCTGTTGTTTACAACAGTATTCTGTCGAGTGCGAGGAGGGCTTATACTTATAATCATGTTCAGGAAGCCCTAAGGCTCTAAGGCAGAGCTCAATTGACTCCTGAACCCCTCAAAAAAGGCAGCTGGCGAGCGCGAGGACTTGAAAAAGATCACAGGCAGGTTTAAGGGTTTGCTTAGATTCAGGGAGGTATGTAGTCTGGACGTAGCTGAAAAAGTTGCAGGTGTACTTCCAGGGTCGTGATGAATCGTTACAGATGGTAGGATTTTGGTGTGATCCTAGCGTGAGGATGTTTACGGACTATGTTTTTTGAGTTGTTCAGTCTCCTGCAGCGCAGTAGGATTGAAAGGCATAGGGGGTCAAATTGAAGGTATAGCGGGTAGGAGTTCAGGGTCTTGGGTGTACGGTTGGCGATTTGGGGCACCCATTGGGAGTCTACATCGAATACACGGGAGTTTGCACCAAGCTTCCTAGGTCCTAGGGGTTGTGTGAGAAGGGCAAGAAAGAGGATGTCCTTGCATGTTGGGCAGAATTTGTGTTTGAGTCTGTTGCTTTTCGGCATGTTTTATTACAATACCTTCGCGTGTACCTGGGGGAACATGTTTGGAAATGCTCAAACAACCTGTCAAACAAGAGCCTGAGAAATTTGACCATTGAGAGTGTAGTTGGTGTTACATAGATAGCAAAGACCTTGCTCATGCAACGACAACAGTTTTGACAAGGGTCAAGAGCCCTGCCAGGTTTTGGGTCTTTCAGGTGTTGTGTCTGCCCATAGTGCCACTGAGAATGCACCATTTGCATTTTGCACTACCTGTGCCAGTTGTTTTCTGACCCGAGTTGTCCTGCCTGGCAACCGCCCAGCATCAAATAAAGCGATGTTTACCATGGAGATGATCGTTGAACATGACATTTCATGAGTTGCCCGATCGAGCTTCGTTTAAGGGCAACGACTCCAGAAGACCCTTTGTAGTTGCCCCCGCGTTTCCCTACGACACGATACGTGCATCAGCAACTGAATTGCAATAGCGGACCGCTGCACAGTATCAGCCCGAAAACGCTCTGACAAACTAAACTGCATTTCCCCGTTGTCTGTGCATGCAGCTGAGAAGTATCTGTGTGGTTGGGCGTCATGTAGAAGTGTGAATGCTTTGTAAAGCCATTCGGTGGAACCCCACATAAAGGCCTGTATCATCCTCATGGTACAAAATGTCCAAATGATCTAGACCTCCATGTTGGATGCATGCGACACCGAAACGTCAAGTTGGAGGCCTGCCAAAGTTTAGAAGTTTCTGGGTTGATCGTTGCATAGATACAGGAAATACATTTTATGGCCTCCTGTTTTTGGCATCTACTCTCTCTAGAGTCCAGGGGACATGTGCCTGTGAGAGGTGACCGCTTCCGGCGCCTGAAGGTGGCGCTCGTGAAGTTCGGAGGGCTTAGGGTTTGACCCAAAACACGGCTCGGTGTACAGGATTTGGGTTGGCATCCTGTTGCTCTGGGGGGTGTGGTGTATTTCCCAGATTCGTGTCTGTGTGTTGGGACTGGGACACTGGTGTTGATGTTGTGTAGTCAGAATGAGGTCCCTGAGAAGACCTGCCATTCTGCAATTGCTTGATTGTGGGTTTAGTGATAGTACATCCTTTGTCTCATGAATATTTATCAGCGTATGCGGTATACGGGTCTTCCCTTTGAGGATAGAACGAATGTGTCCGCAAGGGACACAAGAAAATTAGAAAATGGTAGGTTCAGCAGGCTCAGATTTGCGGTTTCACTTGTTGCAGAAGTCCGAATACCATCCTGGCTCTAGTACCCACCATCAAGAGTCAAGAGTCTTGGAAATTCGCATTCCGGTGCGGATTCGCGTATCCGAATAAGATCCAAGCCGTGACCCCCAAACCCGACACCCTAAGCCCTCAACCGCGTAGTGATGCGCCGGGTCTTGTGCAGGTGCAGATCGACCCCATGCTGCATGTCGAGGCTGTTAAGGCCAAGAGGGTTGGCCTTGTAGGTTTAGAGGTTATGAAGTTTCTGTTCTCACATCTGCCTGTGTAATTTACAACTGCTGCTCTTCATCTGCTCTCCAAGCTTACATCTGCTAGGGCCTTTATGTTTTCTGAACACGTGGCGCCAAATGCTCATCAGCACCAGCTTGGAATCCTGGTTGCCATGGGAAGGGATCCTGGGAGTCCCCATTAGAAGGATGGCATGCGGGCTTTTCAATAAGCTACCCACTATGGCATCCCAGAGTCCCTAACAATCTATTCTGGGTGTCAGGGGACTTTATGGAACACTGTCCCCTAGACTGTGGGCATGGGAAAGCCTGGGCAGGCTCTACCCGAAAAATCTCACAGCTTAGCATAACATTGGGAGCTTAAAGAAACACGCCTCCATGCAAAAGTTGTGCCAGTCTGAAGAGAATGGTTTGTTTTGCTAGAACCACAGCAGCTTCCTTGCCTTGTGTATGTAGACGTCCTTTGCTTCTGTTCGCGCATGCCGTGTCCACCACTCAGACACAAGCAGCTATGATTACAGCTCATGTGCGTAAGCCATACCTGAACACACCCATCTTGGTTTCCGCATTATGCATACGCTTTGTTTTTGGGATCTGCTGCAGCTAGGCCCGTGCATGCAGATGGTGTGTGGATTATATTCCCTGCTCTGTACAGCACGAGCACTACCCCTGTACCCAAATGAGGTCTCAACATTTACTCCTTTACTAGGTGAAAAAAGGCAATGGTCCATGGTAGACATAACATCGACATGGTTTGAGCTTTACGCCTGGAAAGCATTGTGCCCTTGAAAGACCTTAAAAAGGCAACCCAGCTTTCTTGCGAACCTGCCGCAGGGCGAAACCCTAAGCGCCGCTGAAGATCAACTAATATACTAATGCTGCAGGCCATCGACCGCATGCGCCGTGGTTCGAACCTCCTGCTCCTGGGTCGAGAAAAGAGCGCCAATGGCAGGTGTGAGGTTGTGGTATAAGGAAAACAAGAAGTCATGCCCCGGTTGCTGCTGCATCGTGAGGATGATCATTTACATTATTCTGGTGGTAATGGTGATGATGATGCTTGTTGTCATGATTACTTAGCTGCATGTGTCAGTGGAGGAGCGAGAGACTCTTGAATTCGAAGCCTTAGAGCCGGGCAAACTCACCTCAGCTACAATTTGCGCTTTCAAATTGCGTGAAAGTTTCCGTTGTCGGGGCTCAGAGAATCCTACCCCTGCAAAAAGGCATATTCCAAATACAGCGCTGTTCTGTATGCTTTCGCAAAGAGACTTCTTCTTATGAGCGGTGTGGGGTGGGCGGGTCGTTGTCAGGGGTAGGTGATTTGCTGAGAACTGCACCCCCAACCCTAAACTTGAAATCTCAAATTCCTCTCTGAGCCAAGGAAGCATACGCACTACGGATTCCCACACCTGCGCCAGTTCCAGGCAGCTGTTTCCGAGTGGAGCTGGAACATTGTTTTGCTGGATCGTGGGCTTTCACCAAGCTCATTCCCTTTGGTATTGCAACAATAAGAGCAACAACTGCTGATGCTGCTACTGATGCTGCCGCTGTAGGCCTAGGACTACGCCTGCTGCGATGACTTGCTCTTCACCCTTGTCACCTTGAACTGGAACTCCGCGATTCCCCGTTCGGGCGTGCGTATCAATAATCAGAATAATGATCGCAGTAGGTCGTAATGAGTATATAGTTCTGCCATCGTAGTCATCGTTCATGTTACGTCATTTCTTGCTATCTCCATGCAGCTTCCGGTCGGTATATGTGCAGGCTTGAGAGCCAGTATAGTCAGTATTGTTGATCCTGCTTTCAGTGGCAGTCTCATCATTGCTTCAGTGCAAGGGCTTGCCCTGACCAATGTAATTTTGAGACCCCTTGACAAAGTCGTATGGGTTTCGGCTCGTTGGGAGTGGGTGCATGTGGAGAGGGTTTCCATGTTGTATGGTTCCATGTAAGAAGCCCGGTTGCCGTACTTATCCCTCAAGGGTTGTGGTCCTGCAGCGGCAAGAGATTCTTGATCCTGATCTCAAGGACGGGGCTGTGTCACTACGCGGTGGAGCCACTAGACCGCATCTTCCTAGGGCCATCTTTCCGCCCCCTCCTCCCACGCCATGAGCGCCAAGAATGGACTAACATCCTTGGCTGCGTTCGGCACAGTTACCATCTCTGCCCTGCTGGTTCTGCGAGCGATCCGCAGACGTCGATCCCCTGTAATCACCTCCAAGCTGTCCTGCCGCTGTAAAAAGATTCAGGGTGAAGTCTCAGCAATTCGCCAAGATTCCATCCGCATTCATTGCTACTGCGAAGATTGCCGACAATATGCAAAGTTCATCGCAGCCCTGGGCAATCAGCAGGACACGACCATTGGAGAATGTGGAGACAGTCGCGTGGTCCAAGTTTGCAAGAGCGCTCTCAGCATCACGCAAGGGCGACAGTTCATCAAGCTGGCCAGAAAGGCAGGACCATAGTTGCATCAATAAGGGAGCCACAACAATTTGAATAGGGCTTGAAGTAGATATCATGATATCATGCGACAGGCCTGGAAGGATAGTAAGGAGATCGTAGTCCTAAGCTTGAAGTTTGCCGAGCAAGAAGGAAGTCGGTATGCCAGTGATTCATGCCCTGTCCCGGTGGCCCGAGGTAGGACAAGTAGCATCTTAGAAGGCAACAGCACTGAACATCATTTAACCAACCAAAGTCACCAAGCGCAGGTAGAGACCACTTCACGACACATGGGAGGCAACCAGGATGAAGGAATCCCCGACAAAGCTTAATTAATTGAATTGGAACAATCCAAGCCAGTTAACGGGAGGTACGACCGTACGAGCACGCGGTAAAACAGCAGTCTTCGATGGGAGCCCAGAAACACCAAGTGAACACCCGGTAGATGACGGATTGAACTTGAATCAAATCAGTCGATGACTCTTGTACCTCAGCCTGTCAATCAGCCAAAGCCCCCCCTGACCCACCCCCACCTCCACCCCGCATGCCACCCGCAACGAGCAGCAGTCTTGCTTGATGAGCAAGATTCTTTGAGCAAATTGTATGAACTCCCCAAGAATCATCTTCATATTCTGGAGTGGAGTTGTAGAAGAGATAAAGAAACACACAAGATCGCATTAAAATGCTTCCAAGTGGTTCAATGACACTGTACATTTGAATGAGTCCTTCAGCAGAACAAAGATGATCATGTTCAGTAGTGCCTGAACAAGAGCTGAGATGCTAAGGCCGATTTCGCTGGCAGAGGTCAAGTGTTCATGCATCGCTTCTATGCGAGTTGTTGTAGCGTGCCGTTGTACAACACTGTCGACTTCTTGGGGTTTGTGGGGGTTTTCACCGATTTCCTGGATGAGCACTACAAGGAGTTCGAAGGCCCCGTGAGAATGTTTCCAGAGGAGGCTTTGAAGAAGAACCCCGAGCCAGAAGCCGAAGTTTGTGTACCAGACTTCCTTTGGAAGTTGCTGCGCTATCATCTCTGGCGCAAGTCTGGGCCGTTCGACTACACCCTGCCGCCTGTGTATTGGGGAAGTGCTGCTGACCCAAAGAAGACCGCGTAGCCTGAGATGAATGGAAGCTTGCAACAGCTGTCGATTTGTGCATGTACTTGAAGAGTCATGCACCGCAACCTCTGAGGGAAAATGGGAGGACCCGGAGTGTTCTACGTGGTAGTGCGATTTGCATGCCGACAAAGCTAGCAACCGTTAGGATGGCGCAACTGCATGATTCCATCTCTCGGTCCAAATGGGGAAGAGACAATTTCATCTTATCTCAGAGGTATCGGAGCAGTCCCAGATGGAGAGGCAACGTAGCTCTTTTTCAAGTCAGTCTTAAGCAAGTGTCTTGAACAATTGTCAAAGAAATCTAAAGGTAAATTTGGGATTTAAAAGTTTAGGCTTGTAGTGCGGGCACATTCTGTTGATTGTAGAAATCCCGCGCTACCCCCACTGCCTCCAACCCCGAGAACCTTGATTCAGGGACTCTAGTTATCAAGGTTTCCCTCATGGACTCGCATGGAAGGTATCAAGCCAGGCACAACCAAAGCTTACTTTTGCAGCTGACCGAAAAAGGGTTTGTCTTCAAGGGTTCTACCAAGAAGCCTTCTCTCCAGCCAAGGTGCATTGGGAGTGATGTTATACTTGCAGTCTTGTAGACGAGGCTTGCTGCTTAGGCTCATGTGCCCATCATCTTTGCGTTACACGGAAGCACCGTCTACGAGAAACTATTTACTTCCCATAAGTCGCCAGGACTGCATTGTTCTCAGGGTTTACAGGGTCGGGTCTCATTGGACAGAATTCCACACTTGCAGTTGAGCGACGACAAGCGCCGCCTGATTTGGTACTCCGGGGCGAAGAGGCCGTCATGAGCTGTGATTGCTGGCATCATGGTGATCAATGCTAGTATCAGTGGTTGCAGGGCTTGGGCTTCCTCTGAACACATTAATTACCAATGCGGCCAAGATGTGACAATCACATTCACGTTGTTTGAACTTGATTGTTAATTGTGTAGAGTGAGCTGCATGTCTGGGCTTTTTTTAATATCCTGCAAAGAAGTAATGTGTTCGGACGCATGATTTCACGTCTGCCAGAATCCAGACCGCGTGATGATCCAGAAATTAGAGCCACCTAGCGCTGCACCTAATCTGTTACCTTCAGGTAGTTTGCAGGCACCTTCAACGGTGATCTACTTTCGAGATCTTTCCAGGGGTCGGAGAATTTGACAGCATTTAGTCATGGCTGCGCATCGCTCTGGTCGAAGCTCTGGTTGCGATCTGACGTATTCTGAATTATTGGCCCTTATTAGGTCCACCTGTGAGAGTACGGCAGGTGCTATGTTGTGCACTAAAACATAGACCTAGTTCTAAATTTAATTGGGCCCTACCCATCTGTGTGGCGCTTCAAGCGCTAGCTATATCTTTCATAGGGCCGTGGGACGATGCTCACAGTTCTGGATCTTAGACTCCGTTATTGGGGCATATAGGGGGTCCAAATCTCATCACCCTAGCCCCCTAGACCCTCAGCCACAAAACCCCGACATCACCAGGAAGGAGGACTCCATGGTGAATCTTGACGAGGCCTAGCCACCAGCCATCTGTCTCAGCTTTCTGTACAACTTGGGGCTTCTGCTGCTTCTAGATTTCTCGTTGTGCAGTCTGTGTAACTCGCAGCCTCCTTCGGATGGGTTTGTGCGTTTTCTTGCCAGCTAGGCGACAGCCAATGTATGAGAGCGGCACACGATGCTTGCCGTTGTAGTAGCAGGAGGAGGAGTTGTGGTGGTGGTGGTGGTGGTGGCGGTGGTAGCAGCATCAGCACCAGTCTTTGGTGGCTCTGAAGCACCCAAAGCCTTGAACCCTCAAAACCTTGAATTCCAAACCCATCAGGTCGTCGAGATCAAGCTGGGTCAGCAGACGCCAGTCTTCCTTCACTATCGCCGCCCCGGCCTGGATTTGCCAGCTAAAGGTAAATATTTGGAAGTCCCTTTCTTTGGGGGGCTACTGGGATGAGCTGGAATTTGTAAGGATGAAATTGCCGTCGTTCGGCTTGCAAAAAGGGTCTGATATTGATAACATTTGAGGGGAGGAGGGGCGGCATGGATGGTGAATAGGAGGGGTGTTCGGAGAAGCTACTTTTAAGGGTGTCGCTCCAGGGGAGACAAGCTGATTGCCCATACTCCCTCAGGTGCTACCCTGCGACCTACTGAGGCTACGGAAGTGCGGGTAATATGGTATCGCTGGTAATGCAGCAAGCACGTACTTGTCCAAACTCTGCGAAGCAGAGTAAGATAAGACGAGTCATGAGAACAATCAGACTGATCCCTTCCTCTTGAAATTAAGCCACGGCCCTCTCAGATTTGACATTCTGTATCACATCCCGTTATCTGTCAATCTTATAGAACTGCCACTACTCGCAGCAAGTGACTAGAACGAGCAGCTTCGGTAGCGCCCGCACCCGAAAAGCCTAAAGTTCAAAGCCCAAAGCCTGATCCTCAAATCCTTGAACCCAGAACCCTCAAACCCTGAACCCGAATCGCAGAACCTAACTAAACACCCAGTTCAGATGCTTCCAGGTCTGCCAATGCTGGAGCACCTGTCCTTCTCCATCATCCATGGCCCCAAGGGCTCCGCAGGGGACTTGGGGTTTAGGGTTGAGGCATGATCGGGTTTCGGGTTTGGGTTAGCATGGATCGCAGGAGCTTTTGGAAGAGACAAGCACGCAGTTTTTCATGAGAATTCAGTGGGTCTCTCAGGTAATCCAGTGGAATTTGGCTGCAAGCTAAGGCATGGAGAAGATTTCCTAAAGTTACACGTTCTTTAACTGATTTTAGGACTTGGGACCCGCAGATGTACACATGTTTCGGAAAAGAGGGGGAGTGCTTCTCTGTGAGAGACGCCACTTCGTAGATGTGTATAGTTGTCTGTCGTTTACAGGAGTCTCAGTAAAAGCCTACCATTATGGCATCTTGTTGACACAGCCTTCATTTTCCCTGTGTGGCTGTCAGCCGTATACCTTAAACTATCAGAGACCTCTCAAAGGTCCTGGCAGATTTGGAACCTCAGTTCAGGATCTCGCGATTTTCTGAGAGGATTGATCCTTCGCCTTTTAAACATGGGCAGTCCCGGAAATGAGACATAGATTTTCATATGAAGATATCTGTACTCATACCTTGTAGAGATAACAAGGAATAGAAAAGGCCTCCAACCTGGCTAGATTGAGCTTGCAATGGTTCTCGCTTTTTCATGTCCATCCTTACTGATCACTGCTATGTTCGTTCAATTGGTTTCATGTGTGATTGATGGTGGCACCGCAACAATAGTTGGGAACCTTAGTGCTTGTTAGTTCTGCACAGCGCCCCGGCCGCCTAGAAGACGTTGGACCTGACCTGCAAAGATGAATTCGAGTTTGACCATTGGGTCACTGGCCTGAAAGCCATCTTCTACGCTTGCAAGGCGGGGTTCGTTTCCGACAATTTCTCAGATGGAGAACCTCCCATAAATGTATATACACATTTTTTTTTGTGCAGTGTGTTAGTTCTTATCGGCGCCTGCGTCCATCCTGCAAAGAGTCGGTGGGGTCTCCGGAGTGAGGGTTCAGGGCTACTCTGATATCAAAATTCATTGCTGAATTTTCTTTTTTTGTGGTACTCCTTTTGAAGCACTGAGAAAGTGATCTACTAGTCTAGAGGATTAATACTTTCCCCTAATGTTAAATGTCGTCCCCATCTCCACCCTTATGTCTATACTATACTCGGACCCGTATTTGAGATTAGGGGGGGTATGTATCGTGGGACCGGAATATTAGGGGTGGATATATAATGGGATCTTATTGAAATCGAATAAACTCAACAGAAATGATTCAATCGAATAAAAACAGGATTGGATCCATTTCAAATCTGAATAAAACCAGTGAAATTCGGATTGAAAAAAGTAATTGAAATCTAACTACAATCTAAGTAAAGATATTTAAGGTCAATTTAGAGTCGTAATCAAGCCAACGAAAACCTGTAATATAAAGTCTACTCGAATTGTAGTTAGAACCTGGTGAAAATTCATTAAAATCTAATTCAAGTCTAATTAGAATTTCATCAGCAGCGATCTAAAGTCGCAATAACATCGCATTCAGTTTTGATGTAAACTCCTTTATAGAGAACGTTCAACACCAATAAACATCTAGGAAATCAAGGAGATCCCTTATCCTTGAGAGTCGTGCTAGGGGCCCCCCTCCATTTCACAGGATCCGAGCTGTAATCAATTGTAATCTTGGCCCTTTAAAATTAGTCTTGAGGGCAGATTCAGAATTTGGAATTCTGGGGAAACCGTTTTATAGGGGGGGTAACACGCGGGGGATGGGAGTACTTATGCTTCAAGGGTTGCAGATACTTCTAAGGGTCGACAGTATTGCAAGCGCAAACCAAAACCTAGTCTTGTAAGCCTACCGTAATATGTCAGTGTAACCCCCTTCATGCAAGGACCATGCACCGCACATCTTAAGTCTTAAGCAGAGAAGCGCCGCCCATCGCAGCACACGCCAAGAAATGTGCCACGCACCGATCCTGAACCCCTACATACACTAAACCTGGGCAAGGCCCGAATCCTCTACTTCCACTTGAACCTTTGACTTGGAGGCACGCGCATAACCCCCTTGACCTCACTGCCCAAAAGGCTGCAGGGCAAACGGGCGTTGTGACAGGCATCCCAAACAAGAGACCCACAACTTCAAGAACCCAGACCAAAGGGCCAGAAACTTGTACCACGTTCCGCCGGCTCTTTCTCCGCAGAACAAGCAGATCTCCAAGGAGGCCCTGTTGGCTCACTCCAAGCGCTTTCAGAAGGCCCACAGGTTCATGTTTCAGGGTGTCAGGTTTAGGGTTTAGGGGTTGTTTTAAGGATTGGGGCTTATTGTGCAGGTTCTTGTATTTGTGTCGGGTCCCCAGAATACGCGTGCCGCATTCTCTGAACGGTAACTTCTCCATATTTCCTGCTAGGATTTGATCTGACCTTCCCTCACCTTGCTGTTTGGAGTCTGGTTTCGCGGCTTCAGGACCGGTCTTTCCTCTTGCCTTCTAAGGTATCTGTCTGGGCAAGGTAGTCCGGTCCATCTTCTTTTCCACGAAGAGTCAAACAACGGAAGCAGCAGCAATAACAACCACAGCAAGATAGTAGGTTCCACTCTGTTCTCCGCTGTCCAGATGACTGAAGCAGAAATGCCATCTGGACTATGTTTTCTGCTAATGACAGGACAACTGACAGTTACAACCCAGATGTATGGCAACACGTGTCTTCATGTAACGTGAACGGAGGGATTCGGCACACTGGGCACTTCTATCGCTCTCTGAACAGAATGGCCGGAAACACGCAGTTTGCTATGCGAGGCAATCTGGGGGCTTCTCAGACTTTTTGTGTGAGGGTGCGCGGCAGAACTTGCTTTCGAAGGCAAGTCCTTTTCTTTTGTTTTAATTGCGTCAGCAGGCAGACTACGTAACAAGTGTTTCTGTCAAGGTATGCAATGGTGCAGACCTGAGATGTGAGAGGAATTCAAGTGACTTAATTACATGTTGAATCCAAATAGCGCAATACCCGCCCACCCTATTCACGTCGAACCTCGCTACTACAGCTTGACAGATGTCCGTATTCGCATACAGATACATCCAAGTCTTTGTGGAAGGCCCTGGAGAAGAACAACGTTGGGCGCACCCCTCAAATCATGGTCAACCTTAGGCGGAAAGAGTATAGCGGGTGTAGAGTGTAGGATTCCGTTTTCAGGATTTCGGATTGACGGTTGAGGGGCAGATAGATCTAATGTATTGGTAAAATGGTTTCCTAAATGGTTCCTTGATGTAGTGGGAGTGTTGGAAGGTTGTATACGGGTCCCTCTCGAGTTGTTCGCGGGTCAAGTTCTCAGACGCTCCCTCCACAGAAGAAGGGATAACTACACCGACTTCCATGTCCTGCTGTTGAAGGATACAGGATTCGGGTCTTGGTTGGGCTTCTTTTCTGTGTGGAAGCTTGCAACGTAGTAGCCGGTCGCAGAAACGCAGGTTCTCGTTTGATCTCGTTTGCCATTGTGCTGAAGGATACAAAGACAGACTCATAGTCGTGGGTACCCTTGGTGGCCTCCGTGCCGGTGATTAACTGGGAATGGGGGTGTGGACTCCAATGAGCATCCCACTCCAACCCGAAACCTAGATTTGATCCTAAAGCCGAAACCCCAATTCGCTCCGTGCATTCCTCCTCAACACCAGAACAGAGAGCCTCCAAGAGTCCATCTCTCTGAGGATCAAGCTCACCAAGCTGCCAGAGGTGAAGGAGAAGGCCTGTAAATTCTGACCCAAGATGACTCTATGGATGTTTCTGGGTGTAGGGTTTAGAGCATTCGACGAAGGTATGCGGGAATTCCCGAACTCAAGGAAGAGTGCTTTCAAGTTTCGGATCCCCAGCACCGCCTTGTTAATGAAACTCCTACTCAACAATAAAGATACTTACGTGGTAGCCGCATCTAGTATCTAGAAAAGCAAGGAGAATTATCGCCGCCATACCTATGAGACAATGTGTTTTGCTGCTCCTGCATGTGGCACATCGGTAGGGCCACGTCGGGCTCGATGACTGCATCGAGATCGTGACCCACACCCCGCTGTGCACTCAGTTGCTTTGTTAGAGCAGAGGAGTTAAAACTGCAAACGCAGAGCTTCCGCCACCTTTCCATGTCTGAAGAGCATCGAAGTCTTATAAAGTACCAGATGCTCCTTGCATCTCAGCGGTCCTGCTGATTGCGGGTTTCCGCCTATATCTTTTTAGGATTCGGGTGAAAAGGCTACTGACATCCGCTGAAGACCAGTCTCCCAAGGTAAAGCTAAACTTGCTGCCATAAGCTTCGCCGGACATTCGGTTTGGCTGGCGCAGAAGCGTAGCTCCTGCATCCACAGTGCTTGCCCAGCATCATTTTCATGGCAATGCCACATGCAGCCATTGAGAACCTATGTGGAGGGCTGAGCTCCAGACCCCAATCCCCAAACGAATCCTCAGCCTCCGGTTCGCTGATGAGTCTTAGTCAACGCTCGAAACGTGGAAGCTTCAACTCTGAAGGTTCCGCTTCATAGCCCAAGGCTCATTAAATGATCTCAGCCGCAAGAACGGTACTGACAAAAAGGGCGCGTGGCAATATTGAACAGCAGAAGAGCAGTTGACATATCTTGAACAGACTGAGAAGTAAGGCATCCCGGCAGCTGTAGCTACAATGGTCATGGGATCTGGTTCATAGCGACCAAGTGGTGCAGTAGAACCCTTTCTGTATGGTATTTTCCCTTCAGAAGGAACGCCCGCAATTTTAGAGAACAAGCGTTCTTCAAGCGCTCTACGCCCTCAACTCTGAACCCTAAGCCTGAGACCCCGAACCCCTCCCCCCATCCGATTGCACGGGCCCTAAATCCGTATCTTTGAACGAGGCAGCAGCTAGACACAAAAATGGAGCGGCTGAGGGAGCGGCTCAAAACCATGAGCCAGCAGGCAGGACGGATTCTTTTTCGTGGTCGTGGTATTTTGGGATTTGGGAATTAAAGGGGTTGGTTTAGGGCTTGTGGGTTGCAGGGTGGGAAGTAGACATTGTGGGAAAGGGTCTGGGCATCAAAGAGAAACTCTGTGTTGAATCTGTTAGATTAGAAAGTAGCCCTGCTGAACCCCGCGCCAGAAACCCTGCAACAACCCCATCAAAGCTGCTGGTTTACCAAAGCAAGTGAGAAAGGACATTAGCAAGGTTCCTTGTTGCGATTTATCACGGCGACCAGTTCTTATGCCCAACACTGCCCGCACCAATCAATCCTATGAGAGATTGTGACCGTCGCCGCTGTCTTTCCAGCAAGAGGCCTGAGGGTGATTGAAGTGTAAATCCTAGGGTATACGGCATTACATGGGGTAGCGCAACATTTCCTCCACCTACAGTATGAAGCACGTTTCGCCACGTTATCGAGACCCTAAGCCCTAAACCCTAGACCCGACGCTGAATTGCCTAGTGGCAGGTTTCTCGGCTGGATCACCACTCCGCAGCTGAAATGGAGGTTCTGACTCAGAGTTTGGGCTTGAGGGTGCTTCGCAGGGCTGGTGGTTCCAACACTATGGGGTTCAGAGCAAAAGCAGATTTCGTTGGGCCGGTTCCGCTGCTCTCGTGTGGAGCGTCCTCACAATTTGGGCCAAAACGTCCTGTGGACGCGGGTTTTTGGGGGTGCTTCCACATGGCACCTTGACAATTGGGGGCTGCACTCGCGTGCTCGTCGTGAAGTGCTGACGTGTCTTCACTTCAACACAAACTCGTGCTTTCGCGCGTTTGCAATTTCGCGCGAGTTCATGCTCTTGCGTGGACCGGCTCGAGTGCTCCCGGTGCGGCTGCTTTGGAGTGGTCCTGGAGCACTAAGAGTGCTGATAGGGTGGTCTTGAGGTACTTGTAATCCTCGACAGATTTTGGAGCTGAGATCTTCGTGGTAAAGCAAGGACTCGTACGGAGTTTTTATAGCGATTATTACGTAGATCAGCTCCTTTAGGTCATCGGTTCTTGGTGGTTCCGGTTATTGTGGGGCCAATGGGTATTTCTCAAACTAACCTCAAGAGATCTTTAAAGAACCTCATCGCAAATCCCATGGATCCCTGGAATCACAGGGACACCCAGATTCTTTTCGGGATGATTCAGAGGAGCAGCCTCGGCATGAATTCTACAAGGGGATCCTCATAAGGACAGTCAAAAATCCTGCAGCCCGTCTTTCCTAGAAGCCCCACCTGCACCAAGGATCCTAGTAGTTGGGTGTGTACAGGGCCTGAGTTTGCTCTGTTATATCAGAGTCCTGAAGGATTACTGGGTGGTTGACGTGCTAGCGCTTCAACGATTCTGTTTTGGTTCTTTGCGTGCACTGTCCCGCTTTTTGATCTGAGAAGTTTATAGTCGGGTAGTATACTAGCCTGCATGGTCACCTGCGTGTCCCTCAAATTCCTTGTGTACTGATTTGGACTGGCATTTCTATAGCACTTTGTTGAGAGTGTGACATTGTGGAATTCAGAACCTTGGGTCTCCAGACCAAAGCCCCACATCAAGTCGCGGCAGGGCTTGGGCATCAGACATGTCAGGATTTAAGTCCCAGGGGCATGATTCATCAGTGCCCAACCTGGTTTAGTCCATCCGTGGGACCACCACAAAGGGCACAGAACTATGAGAACCCTTGGCTCACTTGCCTGCCTATACTCAGTTGACGCAGAAAGGCGATGAGAGTGCGATGCATTCAAAACAGTACCAAAGGTCGAGTATTTGGGTGAGCTGGTTGAAGCCATGAACATCCCATGGTTAGGGCACCTCACTGGATTCATTCTTGGGAGCCATGTGGGAGTTTAGTAAGACGCTCCTTCTAGCCCCTGAAAGCCTGAAGAGGAGTTCACGATCTTCCTGCAGTCTCTACACCTGGAATGGACTTCACATCGTAGAATGTTAAGGACCCGAAGCTCTGCAGACAAAGTCCAAGGGGCGGTTGTCAAATTACAGTCCCCCCCGTAAACTCTAGTGCCGTCTCGCTTCAACCTTGGAAACAGCATTCCAGTGATTGCCCTGGTCTCAGGTGGACTTATCGCTTCTGACAGGTTGAGCACCCGGTTTTCACACGCTGAGTTCACGTGGAAAGTCAGGGAATTTGAGGTCTCGGGAGCGAGTGAATATGCAGAAAAATCTTTTACTTTTGTTGTTATAGTGAGCTCACTCTAGGGGCAGTACCTGAGAAATCTAAGAACTCTGGGCAATTGACGATTCTAAGCAGTATGGAATTCTTCGGGAGGTTCCAGAAGGAGTGGCAATATCTTCCCCGGGATTTTAACGAACTGCAATCCTGAAGGAGCTCTCTTGTAATTCCTGCAACATTACAGAAGTTGCCTGTTGCCGAAGCAGAGGTTCTGGGTGGAAGCAGATTCGTCAGGGTAGCCAGGAAGCCAAGGTTGAGTCCCGAGCCTCGCCCAGCCCCTCTCGTGGCTGAACCAGGCCAGGGCCCAGCCTACGCCAGCGTCTTCGTCCAGGATGAGGATGCCCAGGCCAACCTTTGGAAGCCCAACCGGTTGACGCAAGGAATTCCTCGAACTTGGTATACTTGAGTTCCTGATGCAGAAGCTTCTAGGTTGGCAGTAGGGTTCTGGTGTAATCTCTGAGATAATCTTTACAAGGTACCCACCCCCAAGTTTATTCCAAGCGTTTACTTGTTCGCAGTATCAAGGAAGCAACGTTTAGGTTTGCGGCTCCTTGAATTCGGACTTACAAGCCTGAAGCCTGGGTCCAGACCCAAAGCTGTGTGGGTATATGCAAGCCTTCAAGGTGTCGATATACCCTGGCTCCCCCCAGGATGGTATGTTATTGATGTGAAAGTACGAACACGCGACGAACACGCACCGCTGCTGCTGCTGCTGCTGCTGCTGCTGCTGCGGTGGTAACACTACTGCTTCTGCCTACTAACTACTTCTGCTACTGTTGCAAAAACGTTTTTCTGCCCATTAATTACTTATAGCTCTAGCGCCATTAATGTTCATGCTGCGATTCCTCTCCCTAAGCCTGAATCAGTCAGCTTCCCATTGCGGCAGGATGAGGAGATGGAGATCAGGAGGATGCATGAGCTGGTGGAGCAAACGACACAGGTGCTCCAGCAGGCCGGTTTGGAACAGCCAGGTTTGCACAATGATTAGCTTTTCTAAAGGCCTTTGAGCTTTGCAGGCTTCAAGACTTTTGGGGCCGCGAGGTTTTGAGAGGTTTGAGGTTCAGGGCCGGGGCTTACCATGTTGGTAAATCCTCTGCCTTCTTTTTTCACATGTTTTTCTGCAAGTATGCTTGTGATTTCCGTGCAGTGGCTACCATCAAAGGAAGGACGTTTGGTGAATGAGTTAATCTTGGGTTGTCCTCTTTGTTTTCTCAACGGTTGAGGGGTTACACAAAGTAGGCTGCACTAGGCAATCTCCCCCCCTCAGCATTGAACAGACTCTTCCTGCGAACACCCGCAGGCTATGCAGGGATTGCAGAGTTTCCCTTAGCAATTCTGTGCAGGCTTTTTGAGAAGCTCCTCTATAACTTTGCAACCCCAACTAGTCAGTAAGCCTTAAGCCCCCAAGCGCTGACACCGTTAAACATCTTTTCTCACTGAAGGCGCGCAATGAGCTTATCGCGCTGAACCAGCGGCAGAGGTCTGAAAGCTCATCAACCAATACAGAGGCCCTCTGCGGGATTGGCTTCTAGTCCTCGATACTACGCGCCAAGATCCCCAACCCTTAACTGCAAATTCCACAGGGTTTAGGAATTAGCGTTCAGGGTTCTAATTTCATGTTTGCTCTGTGAGATTTTTGGGCACCAGGCGCGGCTTTGCATCTAGGCCATAAAGACCCAATGCTGGCAATTACAGCTGCTTTATGGTATAATCCTCAAGTTTCATACGCAACAAACGTTTTGAGTTTTAGTATTGTTGACATGATCAGGCATAGTTCCGCAAAGGAAGTGAACTGATTTGCACAAGCTCTATGATCACAAATCAAACAGCGCCATCTTCGATGTCCTGTTAACTCTGCATTGTCATCAACTTTAGTCTTCTGACGGTGCGTGCTACTATGCGGAGTAGCAGGCAGCAGTAGCGAGAAAGCAGCTGCAAGCCTTTTCATGCTGAAATGGCCCAATCAGTTTGTTAGACACAGGCAGCTTCGGAAAAGTGCTCCAGCCTTCCGCCACTCTCTGACGTCACCATGCCGGCCTATGCTGCCTTGTTGGTCATGTTGTGTATGTTGAATGGAATTGCGTCAGCTTCCCCAGGACTACGTCGACTTCAAAACTGGCCCCACTCAGGATGCTGCAACGGCTGCCATACAGCCTTCTGCTCTCCTCAGAGTGGCAGGTGCTATGACCAGAAGGGCAAGTACTACTACTTGGAATGTAGTTCGCAAGGTGGCAACGGCAATGGTGGTGCAGGCCCGGGGGCTGGCTTGTGCTTGTCGTGATTTGTCTTATCTAGTCTCCGTGTGTGTTGCTGGGCTTTGCCCCAACATGCAGCCTCCCTCCTCAGGCGACTTGTGGGGCATGAGCGGCGGGCGTGTGCCTGAGAACTCCCTGATCACATTGAAGAATGTCTGTGTAGAGCATTGGGAGCTGTGTGCAGGCGTAATTAGCTGTAGCTGGCCTAGCTCAGCTGGCCTAGCTCAGGTTGTGCACGAAGCAGTCAGACGGCTGCATCAAGAGCACGAACTACGACTCTGGAGATTACCCCAACAACGACAACTGTCGAATCTGGGTGGCCAACTACCGGAATTTCTACATGGATGTGCGTTATTTCGACACTGAGTCGGGCTTCGACAAATTGACCGTCAATGGTGTGGAGTACTCTGGAAGCAACGGCCCACAGGGAGTCATCCCCCACGGCGAGATCACATGGAGTTCCGAAGCACGGCTGCAAGCAGTCCCATAAACACAGGGGGCGACATATAGTTTCTTGGTGCTAAGAGTCACATGCCGCCCTGGCTCTTGGCTCCTGACTGCTCAAAGGCCCTCTAGTGCTTTGTCATGTGCGTTTTGTCTGGATCGCTCTTGCTTCGCAAGGACGGCAGCGTTCGAAAAGGTGGCTGGAAGATCTGCCTCCGATCTCCTGTGCCTCAGCTGTTCGTGTGTGCGTTGTGCTGTTGCACTGTAGTCTGCTGTAATCACCAGTAATTCGCCGTCATCCGCAGAACTTTTGTGTTGAGCTTGTTTTGTGTTGCGGCTGTAGGCCCGGTCGAATCTTGATGCGCAGCCTGATCCCGCGGTGGAGCTGAAGCTGAAGGCGGACCTCATGAAGAACCACACCCTGGACGAGGAAGCCTCGAAACTGAAAGCCGCGAAGCTTAATGCGAAAGCCGCGAACGAGAGTGAGACCGGGAACTCTGGCCACTCAAGGCTCTTGGCAGCCATGCCTGACGTTTACGCCTAGTGAGCGCATGCGCTTTCGGTGGCGCCGCAGCAGCACATGCCTGCAAGTTATCAAAGCGGCAAAATGCCATCCGAAAGTCGTAGATTTAGTTATGTAAAGCTTAGCCGCTCAGCGGTGTTTCAACAGGTTTCAAGTCACAATGCAAGCTTGTTATCATGTGAAGAGCCTACTTGACAGGTGAAAGCCGGAGGCTGAGACATTCCAGCATTCAGCTACACAAAGCAGGAAATGGATACGAAAGACTCATCCTCGGCCAAAAAGAAAACTGTTGCGTCACAACTACAAAGGAGAAAAGGGATGTCGGATGAGGGAATCACTGCCAGGGCACTGTTTATCCGCCAGGCAAAAGCCAAGAAGAAGGAGACAGCGGCTTGTAAGGCCGGGAAACGGAGTGGGACTAGAAGGAAGGGGGTGATGCCAGAAGAATGGCCAGCACTGGAAGAGTAGCTGTAATGATTACAATGCTTACTGCTGCTGCTGCCGCTGCTGCTGCTGCTGCGCATCATCATAGGAATTTCTTGTGAGCCATAGCAGCAGCAGAAGAAGGAGTGGTCACCGTCCGGACTACTAGGAGGAGCATGAGGTGGTTGTTACAGTGGATGAATTTCTTTGTTGGAGTTGGGAGGGTTTGGTGGCAGCGGCACTGGTGGTAGGATAGTGGTGGTAGTGGTGGATGCTGGTGCAAGTGCCAGTGCCGGGGAAGGTAGCCGTCGCCATTGTTGTTGCAGTGTAGCATCAATTTGCGGAAGACGGACTGTTCTAATGTTGAGATCTCAAGAACAGAAAGCGTAGTACATAATTGCAGTTGAATTGCATAGACGGCCGCCCTGTTGCAGTGACTTGCAATCCAGCTGACCGCTAAGAGTTCAAGCAATAATGTTCGTACTCATGTGAAGCCATGCATGACAATGATCAGAAAGATTCGGATCCTTTGCAATCCCCACAGCTAAGCTAAGGCCGGAAACTCTCAACCATGAATTTGACAGAACTCTTGCGCTAAAGCACAACTCGCAGGGCTTCACAACTCGCAGGGCACACACGATTCTGTAAGCACGATAGCATCTTTTCATTGCCGTTAGCATTTTTGTTTGTTATTCTCACCGCTGCAGCATGTAACTTGCAACATCTCAAATTTGCTGTTGGCTGCCAGCACATCGACCAGCTCCTGTGGAAAGCAGAAGTGGACTTGGAGAATGTTGAAGACATGTACCTCAGGCTCGAGAAGCTTTGGCTGCAGCACTAAGAGCTTGATTGGCATGAGCAACGCCTGAAGTGAAGAAGAGCCGTGACTCCTCCTCAAGCTATGCTTCGTAAGTTTCCTGAAGTTTGAGTTATGAAAACAGGATCAGTATTTCGGAAATTTTGTCGGGCTGCAAATTGTGCAGATGTTCAGAGCCTTTGTGATGTTCGCGCTGCCAGGTCGAGGTCGAACCCTCCTCCCAAACAAGCTTGGAAACCTGCATAGACCAGTTTACAAACAAGAATTGTCTTCGTGGGCGCTTTGTTCTAGGGAGGGTGTATTGATACGAGAGAGCAGGTGCAGGATTTAAACAACAACTGACGTTGTGTCCTATACTCCAACCCGTACAACTTGCTGGAAACCACCCAAACGCAGCAGCAAGCAATTAAGCAATGGCGGGAAAGGCGTGAGGCACGGTGCACGAAGGAAACATGGTCTACATGCACTGATTTTCAATAAGCTTGCTCTGAACCCATAATGCGGCAGTTTACTTCTGACCTAAAAGCGCATGTGCCAGTATGAGCCATAACTACGAGCCAACAGGCTGATTCAGAGTTTAGTTGAGAATATTTGATCCAGAGCAAATCTGAAGGGTCCTTGCTTAACCTTGGGGGGGTGCTTGATCAAGTGCTGGACCAACATGCAAGCTTGTTTCAGGCACATCGACAACCAAAAGGACACGTACTCGCTGGGTAAGCCGGCCAAGCTTAGAAAGGGTTACTCTGAGTGTCTGAGAAGGAGCCAGTCCTGGCCGGATTTCTGACATGTGACCTGCACCTGTCTAGCTGCCTGGTCATTCCGTAAGCGCAGCCAAACTGCGACACGCATGTAAGATTCTGAATCGAGAACGTCATGTTGGCTTCGATACCATTCGACTGTGAGCTTAGCAGGCTCACCGTACGGCAGATTGCCCAGACTGCATTACCCTTCTGGGCAAAAGAGGGACAGCATTCTTGAAAGCTCAGCACCCCACCACATTTCGGGACATAAATTGCAACAGCAGAAGCATGGAAAAGACATACACCTTAAACCGCGTTTCAGCAGGAAGCCTTTGAACATAGGCGTGGATTCCTCATCACAAGCCAAGTTTCCCAAAATAGTCCTGACCCAAGCCCTGTTCCCCGTATGCCCATGGGCATGACATCTCCATGAGGGTTCCAAACCAGCCGCAAAGACAGGCAGGGACTGCAACTAGGATCCCTACACTTACCAACACTCCAAGCCAGCAGCTTTAGAATCCCTAACGTCCCTATACCAAAAACCTAAATCTAAAGTCCGAAGCCACTTCGCTCGCCAGCCGACTTCAATCAGACGGTCTCCCGTACAATCTCTGATCTCGAGGACATTCAGTTCTGGGCAAACTATAGCAACCGTCCCCCATGTTATTCCATGAGCTGTGAAAAAGAGGAAGCAGTCCAAGAACTGCCTTCTTTCAGGTGTTGGAAGGTTTCCTTCTTAGCCCGTCCAGAGTTTATGAAGGTTGTCGTTATGGCAATTTTCATCCAGTGTTAGTCCATTGTAGTGCTGTGGGTGTAGTGGCAGATGTCGAAGCTCTCTCTTCCTTCACAGCCCTTGTTACATGAAATACAACTTAAACCTTCGTCTCATGCCTAGTATTTCCGTCATTGTATTTTGGTACTCATTCTTACGCTGAACACATATTGTGGTGGGGAGGGTTGTTTACTGCTAGGGAAATGGATAGTTGCTGCTGTTGTTCATCAATATTCCTAAAGATTCCGGCTCTCAGCATTTTTGGTGATTAGCATGGTTATTCATCGTGTGTTGATTCGAATGGGACTGTTTGAAGGCTTCACGATGTAAACTGCAGAGCTTTGCTGAGAAAACCATCGAAAGCTCCCAGGCTTTTGAAGATTTCCTGAATGGGTGCTTGTTGGGCTCCTATTATCCAACTTTAAGATGTAAACATGTGCTCATGTTTCAGGGAAACTCCCATGTGTGGTATAGGATATTGCCTGCTGACCTTGTCAAGGTATCCGGTCCGAGCATACAATAGGGTAGCCCGCATTGCTGGAGGCAGGGGGTAGGTGTAGTGCCTGTAGGGACAGCAAGAATAAGCACACCCAACTCCGGCCGAAGGTGGAAGATTGACTCAGGATTCTATTTGTGGAGTTCGTTTGGACACTCCTTTCTAGACATCGTTGACGTCTGACATGCTTTAAGCACCAGTATATGCCCCAATCGCGGTCCGTCTCCGAGCTGCTGGTATATCAAACGATCCTACTGTCTTGAGGCCATCTCATGAACGTTGGTCCCCATAGCATCCACTAAGGGAAATGCAATCAATCAGTGTCACAGTTGTTGGTGACCAGTTTGTCTCTGAGAGCATCAAGGGCTCTGAGGTCAGTGCACATCAGAAGGGTTATAGGCCCTCGCATGCCTATTTTAAGTAAAGGGGAACCTGCCAATGGCCCGTGCGAATCAAGGCTCCAACTCTAGAAGTAGCTATCAGGCCCTTTGGCATGACGCCTCAGCAGGCTTTCTTGGTGCGGAGCTGTGCTGAAAGCCATTCTAAACAAAGTCTGACAGCCTTCATGGTCTGCTCCAATCAAAGATGCAATCCCGCAAAAACCTCTCTTCTCATGATGTGAGGGCTCTGAGACGTAGTAGTGCAAGTATCGAATTTGGTGTAGGATCATGCTATGACCCACGACGAAACGGGATTGAACATCACCCCTCTGACTATGGAGGCGCTGAAAGTGCTTAAGTTGGATTTTCTCAGGCATCCGCAGGAAGCCACCACTTCGCTGACAAGACCCGTGTACCACCATTCAAGTCTTCACTGCAGAGCCCCCAAAGACTGAACATCCTTCTATGATTTTAAGCCAGCGTAATTCCATTTCTATGCTAAGCCCTATATCCAAAAATTATCATGCGATGAAAGCAGGGGCAGGGAGGCAGAGAGTGCAGGAGAGCTTGAATACCCAGCTTGACTCGATCAAGTCCTACTTCTTCAGGCAAGTCTCAGGATCGGGGTGTGGAAGTCGGGTTTAGGGAACTATTCCACATCGGGATATTCAGGAAGCTTAGGAGGTGGGATTCAAGCTTCGTGGCATTCCCTCGTAAACTATTTAGCGCCTCGGGTCTGCAAGCTTCCGCAACTCGGAATAGTTGAGGATTCCCGCTGTAGACTTTTTGGCTTGTGGTTTTGGGTTCTCGATGTACCCTAAGTAGTCATGAACACGCATTTTGCAGGTGGCAGAGGGGTCCCTCTTCAGGAGGTGAGGGTTGTTGCGACAACCCCCCTGTGCCTTGCAACTATTAGCGCATTTCTGAGGTTGCTGTGATAGCAAACGTTTACATTCTGATTCTGATGTTTCAGGGCTTGCTGTTGTCAGAGATGGATATCTGCCTCTGACTTTATCATAATCGAACCAAATCCGGAGGTAAAGCTAGTTGAGAGATGTAGAAGATTCAGTCATGGCCTGCGTGATGTGCAGAAAGTAGAGCAAGGAGGTCATGTCGTTCAAGGGATGCATGTGCAACACTTCTGCCAGTCTCACCAGGACGAGAAGCTTGAGGATGTTTGGTTTGGGTTCCCGGTCCCCCCTCAACCCCTTACCGTGAGAATTATGAAGTTGCTTGGGTCGTTTTCTGCCCTGGTGCAAATGAAGCCTTACCCTTATGTGTGCTCCGACATATGCCAAAGAAGCTGCAATGCTTGCCTATGAGAGCCATAAGAACCGGGACGTTCAGATTTGTATGTTGCCACTAGCCAACCATGTCGGTAGTTGACAGGATCGCGGCCTGCTTTTTGGGGACTCCTGTGCTTTGCTACTCATCATGTGCCGAATGCGGCACATGCATTTTGAGACCCCAATGGGAACTTGAAATGGACAACCATCGACATCACGCCAGGTGAGATCGCTTTGCGGGGCCAATGAAAGCTGAGGTTGTAGTGGCCACAGTTGTCAAGTTCATCTAGCCTTCATACGAAGCCAATAGTAGATGGTGCATACTCGGGTCCCGCCAGGGAGGAGATGTGTTGTATAATTAATTCGTATATGGGAGCCCAGGGATCGTAAAGTCGGCTTAGCCATGGGCCCAGGGATCAATTTCAGTTTCGAAGTAGAAGATGCATGTTGGACTGTGGACCCTGCAAATCAACAGGGGATGGTTGTGTTTCAAAGTCAGCGGTCCCAATAGAACACACTGAACAACGGGAGTCTAAAGGAGGCAAGTGAACCAAGGGCTCGAAGGCAGACACCTGTTGGAAGCTGGTTTGGTGCTGAAGGGCATGGAGCCATGATAAAACCGCTTTACAAAATGTGCGACCCTCGAGCAGTGAACCTCAACTGCAACACTCATTTGCGCTGAAGCTGTTCGGTTGAGCCAGCCGCGCGAATAGCCATCCTACTTATAACCCCAGTCATACTTACTTCCAGCTAAGCTCTGTTGGGTAGAATGGCCCTCGGGCCACACTCGGACTTTTCAAGCTCGCAACAAAGAGGTCCCTCACTGAGTAATACTCTTTCGTGAGCCTTGGGGGTAGTTTGGGGTATACTAGAGTCTGGGCCTCAACTCTTGCTGCTAAGGCCCCGCATCGGGGTTTTCAGCGCAGCAACGCTGCCCTGCGTGGTGGGACGCCCAAAAGGGGCGCGCCGGAGAGCAATCAGACGGGAAACCTATAGCCGCAACTAGGCTTACAAGCTTATGAATTTCTGGGATTTACGGGAATTGGATTGACCTACCGAAAGGATTGCAAGAACAGCTGAACCACTCCTAGCCGCCTTCGCTGTGACAAGCAATCGGCGGTGCTCGGGAGCTGAGTTGAGAGTTGCGTTGTTGTGGCAGCTTTCTTTCAGGGGCCCTAGCCCTCTCTTTATCTCTCAAAGTCATTTCCTGTTAGTCCTCAAACGCCACACCTTCTTGGCCGGGTCCTTGGGTTGAGGAAGGATGGTTGTGGCTTCAGAGGATCGCAGGTAGAGACATAGTGACATAGTCTTGCCTTTCTGAGCTTCTGGCTTCCAGGAGTATCAGTCAGC